CCCCCCCCACCCCACCAGCACGGAAGCCTTCCAACAGGAGCAAAATCCTGGGAACCTTCCTCTAGAGTCAGGCCAGCAAAGGCTGCACCCCTTCCAAAGCCATGAAAAGGGAGGCCCCCACTTACCGTGCCCAGAGGCCTGTGGGTGGGAGGATTTCCTGCCCGAAGGGGGTCTGGTAGCCATACAGGCAAATGAGGTGGCCCCCGGCAAAGACGTCCACCACGATGCAGAAAGCATTGAAGGCCAGAGGGCTGGTGGAGAAGTGGCAAGCCCACCAGGTCATGAGGCCCACGAACAGCAGATAGTAGACGCTGGAGAAGGCCGACGGCAGGGTGATCCCTGGAAGGCAGAGGAGGAGAAGCAGGGTGACTGAGAGTTAGCGGCTGCTTGGCATAATGGGCCTTTGCCAAGGAAGAGAGCATGAGGACTGGAAGCTTTGATTTTAAGGCAAGGAACGTTGATCCGAGCCGAGGTGGCGCAGTGGTTAGGGTGCAGTACTGCAGGCCACTTCAGCTGACTGCTATCTGCAGTTCGGCTGTTCTGATCCCCCCTGGCTCAAGGTTGACTCAGCCTTCCATCCTTCCGAGGTGGGTAAAATGAGGACCCGGATTGTTGTTGGGGGCGATATGCTGACTCTGTAAACCGCTTAGAGAGGGCTGGAAGCCCTATGAAGCGGTATATAAGTCTAACTGCTATTGCTAAGATGACCCAACAGGTGGGGTCAAGGCATACCTATTTTTAAGGGCCCCATCTGGAATCCTATTGGCTGCCTCCTGTCGGCCCCTGATTGGTGGGGGTGAAGCTGCAGTACCACCCCACAGCCAGCAAAAGTTGAGGGGGGGCGCTGTGGCGTATCCCAGAAAAGGCACCTCCTTCTGGCCCGGTTGGGCCGCTCTTTCCCACCTCAGCACCAAAAAGAAGCAAGTTGCGACCGGTCCTCACGCTTGCGACGGTGTTTCCAACAAACAAAGTTAACAGGGGAAGCCGGATTCACTTCACCGCCCGGGGATTCCCTTAACAACAGCAATGACTCCCTTAAGAACCATGGCAAAAAGGAGTTTATAACCCTGGACAAGTCTCGCTCAACCACCTTGGTTAGCAACAAAAATCCGGGGCCTCCATGTCATCGTAAGTCGAGGACAACCTGTGTTGCCCAAGAGCCTGAAACAAACATCTCCCTTGTTTTTTGGCTTCAAACAGGCTGATTCCCCCACCCCACCCCTAATAACCTGGCCCCAGAGGCAGGGAGTTTTTGCAGTCCTCCCCTCGCCCACAGGTTTTCGGGCCGCCAAGGCTCAGCGTTGGCCTCACATCTGCAGGTTTCTTAGGACAGCCTCCCTGCTTTTTTCCAGCGGGATCCCACAGGGAAGTCCAGCAAGAGGACAAGGGAGGGCTGTGATTGGCAGATCAAGGCTGCCAGCTTGATGCTGCTCGCCCCTCCCTCCCCGCCTCCTGCAGCTGTCCCTGTCTTGTCACCAGGCAAAAACGCCTTGCGAAGAACCTTTGTCTACAACAAGTCTACCTTAAAAGCACACCGAGGCAGTTCCCTGTTTAAGACCGAAAGAAGAACATGGTTTTGCAGTTCCAAGAAATACCTAATTCAATCATTTCTTTGCAGGTTTTTTTTCCTGCCTCCTTCTAACTTGCGTTGTTGTTGTTGTTGTTTTGTTGTTGTTGTTGTTGTTGTGTGCCTCTAAACACAACAAGGCAGAAGCTCCAACCAGCTTTGGAAGAAGGAAAGAAGCTGCTTGGATGAGAAGCGAAACGTCTTCGAAGAAAAAGCAGATATAAACGAGACTGGAAAAAAACGGATTGACTCTATACAAAATAAATACGAGACTAAGAAATTCCAGATAGCCTACGCTTAAGATCAGGAATGATTTAAACTGTTCAAAGTTAGCGTAGCAAGAAGGAGCTAAGATCAATGTGGAGGTGTTATTAACCTCTTTTTTTTATTTCTTTTTTTCCCAATATATTTTAGACTGTGTTTGTTAAAAATCTATATCGTGTACGGGCTCTGGGAAGTCGGGGGGGAGGGGGGAGGGGTGTTGGGGGGAGGGTGAGGGGTGGNTGAAGTGGCCTGCAGTACTGCGCCCTAACCACTGCGCCACCTCGGCTATATACTTATACCTGTTATCTTGTACATGTTCGACAAACTAAATAATTAAAATGAAAACTCCCAGGATTCCCCAGCCAGACATCCTGGCTAGGGAATTCTGGGAGCTGAAGTCCACAAGTCTTCAAGTGGCCACGTTTGGAGAGGTTGATTCAACAAGCCATGGTTGAGACAAACTGTGGTTCAGCGTCTCCATGGAAGATTCTCAGTCATCCAGTCCTGGACTTCCTTCGTTTTTCTTTGAAGGGGTTTCGCTTCTCACCCAAGAATCTTCTTCAGCTCTGTAGTCCAGTGTGTCGCGTGAACCAGTTTCCATTCTTGTAAAATCACTGTTTTGTTTTGTTTTGTTTTAAATCTTAAACATGAGACACTAGGGCTCAATCAGATTATATCTGTAATGGCTGGAGGGGGAAACTCACATTTGCACTGCCGATTTCGGGGGTCGTGGTAGACGCCGCGCCCACAGTCAGCCACGCAAAGGCCTTCCTGGAGAAATGTCGTGGAATTACAAACTCGGCATCCGGTGGAATTGTCACACTCCAAGCATCCCTCGGGGCAAGCTAGCACGAAAGGAAAAGCAAGATGCTACGATAGGCGTTTTCAACCGGGGAAACAAGGCCGCGGTTATGTAACTCCATTATTGATAGTCGAGGGAAGTTAACTCTGAAACTTTGCCATCAAATTACTCACGATTGCTCTGGGCATCAAGCATGTTTTAACTTTTAACGCGCTAATTCGTTTACCTAGGCATATCTGCCCTCCGTGGTCTCCATAGTACCGCTTTCCACAAGACAAGACGCATTGGGAATCCAGGAGCAGGAAGGGAGCCTGGCAGCGCACGCATTTCCCCGGCCCGTCACACTGGAGGCAGTTGTCATCATCGCATCCTGCAAAGCCCCAGAAGAAACTCAGAAAGGAGTCTTTCCCTACTTACATAGGATACAGCGATTCATTCTATGCTTCTCCTACCCTGTTGTGGCCTGCCAGCGACCGGTGGAGCTGGTGGCAGGCTCAGACAGTGAGGAGGTTGGGGAGGAACATGGGCCAGTCCTGGAGTCTGGGGA